GACGGTGGATAAACATGACAGACACAGGCTCCGCCTTCAGGCCAGCATGGATATGAAACTGGAAGTGTGACCCTGTAACTGTCCTTAGAAGCAGGAGTCCAGAGGGTGAGAAAGCAATGCTCCTCATTCAGGTCTCTCAAGTATCAAGTGAAAAACCTAAAGCCCACATCGCCTCAGGGATTTGTGGACTAAATGAGCAAGCAAAGGAGAAAAGCCTACGAGACAAGGTCCCAAAGAGATTACTGTCTTCACTGCCAAACATCAGGGACTAAAGAAGTCCTTTATGAAGCAAAGCTTTATAGAAGAATCTGATCAGCAGGCGGAAGTCGCTGGACTCTCACATGGCTGACTGTGGTTTGAGTTCCAGACCTAGCAGCTTACTTTCTCACATTCCCTTTTTTACTCTCTGGTCAAATTAAAGGTAATAATGATAATAATAAAATAAATATTCTTAAAAAAAAAAAAGAATCTGATCTTTGCACAAAGGACACTGAGTGGCAGTGTATAGTGTCGACTGCGGTTTGGTGAAAACTGCAGAAATATCCTTCAAATAGAGGATTCCTTTTCCAGCTTCTAGAAGGGCAGAGAGCATCTATGATTCAGCTGATAGGATATATCATACCCTCAGTGCTTTCCTTTCTGATGAACCGACTGGCACCCAGCCTGATAAATTTGAAAGACTGGCTAGTTGACAAGTCCGTAAGCCTTTTTTTCAAGCCTAATATCTCAGGTCATAAAGTTATACACATGGTAATCGTAAGGTCCAAACCAAAAGTCAGGACTTTCTAAGCGTGAAATGGAATATTACGAAACTATAAGAAAGAATGAAGAAGTTCTTCAATTACTATTAAGGAAAGATATAAGACAAATACAGGGGCAAGATAAAACACATTTGCATATATGTAAAACAGAGGCTTATACACACATATATGCTTAGATGAATAGAACAAGCTCATTTATGTAAAAAGGCTTTTACACATATCCGCCTTTATATAAAATTCCTCTGCATAAGGTATAAATAATATTGGTTAGATCCAGGAGACTAGGAGACAAGGGTGGAAGAAAGGTAAACCTTTTACACATTTTATATTCTGAACCATGTGTACCTATACAAATACTTAAATTCAAAGAAAAGGGCAATGAAAGCAGGCCATCCAGCCAGACGATGAAAAGAGTAGCTGAGGGGCCAGCAGATGGCGTAGCAGTTATGTCACTAGACTCCCACATGGGCCACCATGGTTCAAGTCCCAGACCTGGTGTCTTGAAACTCACACCGGGTACATGTGCATGTGTGTCCAAGATCTGGGGAGGAGAATAGAGGAGAAGGGATTGCAGCATGGCCCTCTCCCAGGGAGGTGATTGCTCACTTTCCCTCGGTCTCTAAAAAAAAAAAAGAAAAAGAAAAAAAAGACCTGGACTCGACATCTACCTCGTACCTCGTACGTAGCTGTGTTACATCAGCTCAGGAATTCTGCCTGAGCCTCAGTGTCCTCCCTCTAAAATGAGGACTGCTACAAAGAGCTGAGAATTTCAGTAAGATCATAAATGGACAAGTACCCAGTTCCAGGGCCTGACAGATGACACGTTTGACTTGCTATCCACCCTCGAAGTTCTGAGAAGCATAACAATACTGACATAGAAAATGCTGTAGACTATTGGTTTTCTCTCAAACTTCTGATTGCATTAACACTCCCTTCTAGAAAAAGAGACATCTTCCCTTGCCATTCCACCCCCACACTGAAGAAGAAAAAAAAAAAAAAACTATCTTAAAGGACAAGAGAGCTTTTCAATTCTTGAAAAGACTCAGAAAAAAAAAGACAAGATTCAGAAATACAGTACAATCTCTCTTCAAGATAAGTCAATTTAAGTTCATCTGCCGAAACTCAAGAAGAGTTCTTTTTCCTCCTTCAAAAGTTTTCACTGGGCAAACTTCAGAAAAGAAGAGATGGGATAATTCCCAGGCCAAGGGCTAATCTACTAGAAAAGCTAAGAAATGGGCACTGAAATATTGTTTATACTCATGTCTTTTCAAGAAAGCCAAGTTCTTTTTTCAACTTTCTGAACCAAGGTTTATTTTCAGACAAAGACCTCCAGGTCAAGACTTCAAATGGGCATAGACTTTTTTTCTGACAGTTATAAGCAAGCACAGAGGAATACAGAAAAGTCATTTCACAGAAAACCTGACAATCCTGACTTTGGGCTGCCAAAGGAGGCCTCAATAAGACAATAATGATAATTGTCAAGCATTGACTGTGGGCTGGAGCTTTTCATCTGTCACCTCATTTTAATCCACACAAATAACCCCATGACACAGGGATTATCACTAGCTCTGCAAGTCAGGCCAAACAGCTGAAGTGACTTGCCTGAAGTTACGTGACTTAGTTGGTATCCGTGGGACTCCATTCCAAAGCTAATGCATCATTCCACTGCCTATTTCTAAATAATAAATAATTATCAAAAGGCAATTTGGACAAAGATAGTGAATCAGAATTCTGATTTTAAAAAGAGACTTATTCAAATTTGGTCATGTACCTCGTTGATTAATTTTAGGATGACCATCCTAATATCTTTATTCTCTCCGTAATAAATTCACATTAGAGGAAGGTGGCTCTGGCTATTCATGCTAACTCTGAGAGAAAAACATTTATTCAGATTTCCCCTTGGAATAACAATGAGAAGAAACACAAAAGCCCACAACAAGAAGGGGGCCGCTCACAGTTTTGTAGACTTGTTCAGTGGGGCCATCGAATTCCTG